TTTTTTTTTTTATATATTTATTATTTGGTTTGTTGATTTTTTTGTTTTTAAAGATTTTATTTATTTATTTTTCCCCCCAAAGCCCCAGCAGATAGTTGTATGTCATAGCTGCACAACCTTCCAGTTGCTATATGTGGGACGCGGCCTCAGCATGGCCGGAGAAGCAGTGCGTCGGTGCGCACCCGAGATCCGAACCCGGGCCGCCAGCAGAGGAGCGCGCGCACTTAACCGCTAAGCCATGGGGCCGGCCCACCCTAGGATTGTTTAAATAAGGAAATAAAAATAAAACAACTTCAAAGTATTTTAATTACAATTTCCCACTAACCAATAGCAGCTAATCATCTTCAATCCTTTGAGGGCAGATCTTACCTCTCAAAGTGTTTTGCAAAAAGGAAGTACTCAATAAAAGACTTTGATTAATAACCAGGATGAACAGGGTTTCTCTTATTGCAATAATCTTTCCAACATAAAAATTATAATCAGTCATCTTGGGACTGGATGAAATTGCTTAGTTTTGCCTTTGAATTGCCTTCCTCATTTCACATATGAGGAAATGAAGGCCCCAGAGAGGCTGACTCCATTTTTGAAAAAGTGATTGATTTAAAAGTCATACAGTGAGTTAGAAGAACTGAACAGAACTCCTATCTATTGATTTTGTGTTTTAGAGGTCATTACACCACCTACAAACCAGTCTAAATTACAACTTCTACCTAATTTTTTTTGTCTTGCTGATTCATGAGGACCACTGTCCTGCACTTTTGGAAATAAGGGGAAAAGACCATTTTGAGGTTTATTATTATTAGTGGTGATATCAATGTACATCTGAGATGCGCATTTCACATACGCTGCATTTATGGATGTTTCTCTACATGGCTGATTTTGCTTTCACTCATTCAACACAACTCCCATTCACTGTGCTGAAGTCTGTGATAAAACAGTGAATAAAATGCCCAGAGTTCCAGCTCCTGCAAAATTTTAACCTCGTGATTTCACTCTCTCAGGAACTCCAACAGACTATAAGTTTGAATGCAAGGACTGTGTTAAGCTGCTTTTGGATCCCTAGTACCCACACGATACCTGGAACATCACAGGTTCTGAGGGAGATTTGCACTCCTTTTTCTTAATAAGAAAAAGCTCCTAGTGTTGAGGACTTACCAGTGAGAAAATTCCGCAGTCGTCCAAACTGTACTTCATATTGCTGGGGCTCTGCCTGGCACGGGGCTGCAGACACTATGTTGGCACATCCAGATTCTGACTGGACTGAGGAGGAAAAGATACACAAGATGGGGATGGGAAAGACAATTATTGACTCAATATGTGGCAGGATGGATGGAAGGGGGTGTTGAGTATGCAAATCAGTAGATTTTCAAAGTATGTTGAGGCTTCTTGTTAACTATGACAGACTGATGACACATATCTATCTCCTCTCCCTCCTGATACCCAATAAAATGACAGCAGAGGAAAAAATAAGTTTATATAAAGCACAGGATAAATAAGCTGAATGAGAGAGGATAGGTGTGTAAGTTCACAGAGACTAATTTGGAAGTGTCTGACCCCATGTTCTGACATTTTACGATAACATGCCTCAGTGTGGGTGTATTTTCAACCGCTGTACTGGGCACTTCATGGGCCCTTTCAATCTGGAAATTCATGTCTCTCAGTTCTGAGAAATTTTCTTGAATCGTTTTGTCCAATCTCTGCTATTTGCTCTTTCTGGGACTCCTCCTATTTCAAGGTTGGATCTCCTGAACTGATTCTTTCATTTTCTCTCCCATATTCCATTTCTTTGTCTTTCTGCTCTACTTTCTGGGAGGCTTCCTCAATTTTCAACCCTTCTACTGATTTTTCATTTTCACTATCATGTGCTGGAATTTACAAAATTTTTTGTTGCTCTCTGAACCTTCTTTCTTTTTTAAAAATAGCATTCTCTTCTTGTTTCAAGGCTATTTCGAAGTTTATGGTGTTTTCGAAGTTTTCTTCTCTCTACTGTTTGCTTCATCCAAGTGGTTTCTCACTGTTTCTTTCCATTTCTATTTTTCATAGTAAGTAGATTAGTTTCTTCCAGAGTCTGACAGTCCCTAGCTGTCAGCATGCATAGCTGAGAGTGACGCACTACAGAGCTGATGGAAACTCCATGTGCTTATCACCCAGGACGACCTGGATGGACAACTTCCCAATGTCAATGTCTTTAGGTCTTTTCTCTTGAGCAGGTCAGATTCACCAGGGAAGAATCTTTTCATTGCCTTCCTGGAGGATATGTGCCTGGCTGCCAGTGTTCTGGGCAGTGGAAAGGGGGAAATCTGGAGTGTCAATATTCAGTATGTAAAAATGCACTTAATCTCCATTCTGTGAATTTATGCTTTCTAAAAAGGAAGACAAAATTCTCTTATCCCTTTTGCAGGGGGAAAGGGGACAGTGGGGAAAGGTAGCCAGGGACTGAGAGAAGCCATCTTTAACAATAATCTGGATGAAACAGTAACACATTTTAGAAGATGGAACATGGACGTAGGAACAGTAATTAATGCAGCAGGACTGAGGAAGCCACAACACAAAACGTATAGAAAGGGGGACACAGATGAGAAGAAAGTCAATGTACCCTATTAGGACTCAGAGAGGCAGCCGGAAGGAGGAGGATATGCTGGAAGGCTGAACACAGGAGAATGAGACTCTTCCCTCTTCATGTTGCCCCTAAACTCTAGTTAATCCATCACTAAGTCTGACAGAGTCCTAAAATCCATCCTCTCCTTTCCATTCCTATTACCACTTTCTTAACTCAGCCTGTCTTCACTTCTCACTGGATTGCACTATGGCCTTCTAACTAGCTTCTCTGGTTCAAATCTAGGCCTTCCCCAATCAACACAGCTATCAGAGTGATCTCTCTAAAACTCACATTTGATAACTTGGATACCCTACTCCAACTTGTACCCTGGTCAGCTCCTAATGGTTCTTCTGAAACTCAGCTCATTCCTTCTCCTATTTACTGACCTCTGACTGACTACATGCTAGGAACCACAAGACCTTTCGGGAAGCCTACTTTGACCTGCCAAGCTAATTTAGATGACCACCTTCTTTGTTCCTACCGAACCAGGGGCATCCCCCCTTCACAGAACTTACTAAATCATACCTTTCCAGTCACTGATTTACCTGCCTCATTTCCCGACTATAATGTTAAGCTCCTCAGGAGCTGGAATCAAATCTTAGCTATCTCCAGAACTTTTCAGCTCCTGGCCTATAGCAGATGTTCGGTAAGTGTCTGCTGCACAAAGACCTAATTATTCAGATTACTCAACTGACAGAAAGACCTAGGACAAAATCTTATGATAATCACACTTCATGTTTCTCACATTTCCTAGCAGGTTACCACGAACAACAGTGACTCTCTGAATAAGCCATTATATCTAAACTAATCCAACTAAGAAGAGTGAAGTTCTAGAAGTCTGTTTAATAGTGTTTGCTCCTATTTTCTGTCAACAACAACATGGAATTACTGTCCTCAGGTTCTAATGAACACAAGGCAGCAGGAGATTATTAATGTACACTAAAGGCCGTGATGCCAAGTTTAGAAGAAATTACTCTGGCCCTGTAAACTGGCTATCCTACTAGAAACAATAAAGCATTTATTAATCCAGTCCAAGTCCATCATCTGGCCCTGTTCTTGTCAAGGGTTATCCAGTGGAGTCTCAAGGAAAGGAAGAACGGTGTAGATATGATGCTGAAGAAAAAGAAGGCAGATGCCTGTTGGGCTTCTACTGTCTCAGAGGGAGGCAAGAACCACTCTTTCAAGGACATCCTCAGGTTTTTACTGTCTCATCACTCTTTTTCTACAGCAATGGCAATACACCCTAGAGCATAAAGAGTCTGGGTCCTTGATTTTGAAAGTAATAAGAAAAGAGGAAGCTGAGGTAGCTACTGCTACCAGGATGGAGGCTGAAACCATTGAGAGATGGAGTAGGTGGTGACAGACACTTAGAAGAGCAGAAGGAAGTACAGGAACAAAGAAGAGAGAAGGGCCCAGTCTGAGCAGATAAGAGGAACCAGGGCTGAGCTGGAGAAAGCACTGCCACCTCGAACTCCACACACAGCCATTAGAGAAGTCCATCATCACCCTCAAAGCACTGCAGTAAAACTTTCTCAAAATCTCTAGTACACAAATTCACCATACGAAAATTGTATCACAAGAAAACTTGAACTCACAAAATAGCTAAGGAACAATTATTTGTTATTCCAGATAGATTCAAGACAAATTTTTCTAAAAAGGAATCCAACTGCAAAACAAACAACAAAAAATAAAAACAGATTTTAAAAACCTCAGGAACATGTCTATGACGCCAATATTTCCAACCACTGCAGCCAAAGTACTCACTCACCCAGCAAACCTGACTTCCACAGGCAAGGCTCCGAGCTACAGGAGAGGGGACACGTGCAAGTGGGGGACAGAGACCCTAGCCCATGGATAATAGTTTATAGAAGGAAAAAGTTACACATAACATCATGTACAGATACAATCATTTAGAATTCTGAGGCAGTATATATTACGACAGGATGTTTTTACAAGTGGCGTCTGACCATGGCTTTGAAGGACAGACATCTCTGGGACAAGCGCCCCTCATCTAGTGCTGCCGGCTGAGGCTGCTGGACACTGTGCGCAAGCCAGCACTATCTCCAGAAGAGGAGAAATCGCTTCTTGTGGACCTTGACATGAGCTCTCCTGCTCCAGCTCACCCCCAAGAGCAGCCCCCACGGTTACCTGTGAGATTGGCCGCCATCTCCTCAGCAGTCTGTGACAGCCGCAGTCCTTGCTTCAGGGGACCGTCTGAGTCCACGTATTGCCGGCGTTTGAGGTAGCAGGACACTGCCATCTGAATCTGTTCAGTACGCACTCGTTTCATGACCTTCGAGGGGAACCACAGAACTATAAGGGATCTAGGAGATCATGCAATCCAGCCAGGACATCATAGACAGGTAAAATAAGTAGTAGAGAAAGAGTAGCCACATGGCTAGTTAAGTGACCTAGTTAAGACACAAAACTAACCTTCATTACCAACCTGATGCTCTCTTCCATATTATCTATTTTCCCAGTGACAATACAGCCAACTTCATTTATGGAAAGTTGGATTATCGTGGATAGTAAAACCCCAAAGATCACTCCCAAACTCCTTTTAATTCCATGACTTCAGTCTGCCTGATGGAACTTTTCATTAGAGATGCTAACAAAGAGCAAACAGGAGTAGTTGAATGCCAGGACCTTTTATTTCTCCTGCCTACTCTGTGAGAGAGGTGTTAATTAGCAGTGAACCAGCCAAAAAAGCAGGCCAGGAGGCAGCACAAAATCAAAGATCTGAGAAATTCAGAAACTGGATAAGCAGATTTTGAGGAAGTGAGAGGTTAATAATGGGGAAGAGAATGCCATGTTTTTTTCTTAATAGTCAGGGAAAGGCTGCCAGGACTAAGTCAAGGATTTCAGCACTGTGTTTTCATTTTTATCATATTACTTACCTCTTTCACTCTTGATTTGTAATCGCAGGTACAGAAAACCAACAAAATGGTAAGATGGTATGTATATGTGTTAAAATACGTCTCATGAATTCTTATAAGAAAGGAAAATAGTAGGAAATGCGTTCAACAGGGGTAAATTACATTTGATAATTCAAGCTACTTTGAGGGATCCTCCCCCACAGAAAAACAATTTTCCTTCACTACTACATTTATTATCAAGAATGACAGGAACCCCTGATATTGCCATGGGCCGCAAATACTACTTTGCCAGAAGTAAAGTATATTGCAGCCCAGACGACCAATGACAACTGGATGAAATTTTTTTTTAATTTTATTTATTTATTTTTCCCCCAAAGCCCCAGTAGATAGCTGTATGTCATAGCTGCACATCCTTCTAGTTGCTGTATGTGGGACTCGGCCTCAGCATGGCCGGAGAGGCGGTGCGTCGGTGCACGCCCGGGATCCGAACCCGGGCCGCCAGCAGCGGAGCCGCGTGCACTTAACCGCTAAGCCACGGGGCCGGCCCTGGATGAATTTTCTAAGTTCACTTCTGTTATGTAAAAAATATTCTCCCCTTCAAGATCAAAATATGGTGTCCATTTTGGAATGCATGCGATGTTATCCACATACATGTGATCATCCCTACCAACGTAATACTCTTGAATCAAGGGTTCCCAATTGTTTTTTGTGTAAGATGTGCTTTCAGTCACTTATTTGGATGTGCTTAACTTTCCAGCTTTAATTAAATGCACTGGCCTTCTCCTTTGTGATTTTCTCCATTCTTTTTTAAGACCCTAAATTCCTACCTTTCCAGAAATCTGTCATTTATTTTTTCTTAAAACTTTTTAAAAAGGTCATTTGTAACTAATTTTTATCCACCTCCAACTTCTTTTAGTGTGTGATGTGTGGTGAATAACCAAACATCTTACCCAGATATTGCAGCAAATTGTTCCAAAATCATTTGTAAACAATTCTTTTGTGTGTGTGTGTGAGGAAGATCAGCCCTGAGCTAACATCCATGCCAATCCTCCTCTTTTTTTTTATTTTTCCCCCTGAGGAAAGACTGGCCCTGGGCTAACATCTGTGCCTATCTTCCTCCACTTTATATGGGACGCTGGCACAGCATGGCCTGACAAGTGGTGTGTCAGTGCGTGCCCGGGATCCGAACCCACGCTGCCAGTGGCGGAGAGTGCACACTTAACCGCTACGCCACAGGCCGGCCCCCGCAAACAATCCTTCTGAACAAAGTTGTGGTAGCCCTTTTAAAATATACTCTGAAGATCTACTTTTCAATTTCCTAAGTCATGCGACAGAGCAAACAGTGAAAGCTGAAGATACGTGTACTAAAACATACATATCTATATATAAATATAAAATGTTAGGATATCATAAATGTTATTTTAAACTACGTGTATAGAAAGATTAAATTATCTATGCATTTCATTTCTGGATTCCCAAAGAGTATAAAATATTTGTTAAAAAGGAGAGGTACTGGGTCTGATATGGTTGAGATTCAGCGATACAATGAAATATATCAACCTATTTCCCAATACTGAACCATCTTTTCACTATGGAATTTGCCTCACTCAGTTCTGGTGTATTAGTCTTTCACTGTATTGATAACTCAGATATTTTTTAATTAAGATTTTTTTTTTTTTATTGCTAATACAAGGATACTGATACTTTGAGAGCGGGGATCCCTGCTCTAAGCATTCATCTGTCCATCAATGAAGACAGATAATAGTTTCTTTGTGGTTACTAATAAGCATTACTATATTAGTTTGACTATATCAATGATTCTTTATGGTTCTCCAACCTGGCTACCCATAAGAATCTCCTGTGAGTGTGTATGTATAAATAATTTCAGTCCTCGAGATTCTGATTCAATGTTATATTTAGAAAAAAAAAAAATGTAGAAGTATACAGAGACTGTGACAGTACTGCCCTTCCCCAGTTTGGCCCAAAGTCAGGACTAGTCACTCCAATTGGCTCTGCCTCCCCCTGCACCCCCAGCTCCCACCACCAAACGCCCCTACAACACCACTTGCTAAAGGTGCTTTTAATCTAACTTCAAGAGCTCTTAGTCTCCAAACTCTTCCAAAGCAGCCTGAGTCCTCGTATTTTAGCTGAGACCAAAACTTTTCCAGATTTCCTAATACCAATCTCTTGTTGCCACGGGAACTCATGCTTGTATCCCTGTGTGTCCCTTAGTGTTCCAAATAAGATTGGAATAAGAGATTACTTCTCTACCAGGAAAACACCGTGCATGTGAAAGACACAAGAAAACATACAGAGAATAGACTCTGCAATGACACAGTGTCCTCAAGGTGGGAAAAAGTATAAGCATGTCTGAGGAGGAGGGGAAAAGATACAAGTTAAGAAAGAGGAAACAAAAAGGAGTGAGAATGAACAACAGTAAAAACTGGCCGTATTTGAGACTGCTAGAAACTAGTTTGTAAATACTGATTTGCCCAAATTAGTTGCCCCAAATGGCAGTTTCTCTGAATCCAAAGCACCATTTATGGGAAGGGACCTTCCTTCAGGATGGGTGGTGAGCCAACTGTAGGTCCAAGGATCTTAACGGCAGGAATGCTGGCCTTAACTCCCTTTTACAGCCACCCTCAACAAAAATACCAAAGACGTGACCCAAGTGACTTAACTGGATTTGATTCCAATGCACACATATTTCAAGTGGAATAATTAATGAAAAGAGTTCTGCAGAGAAATCAGTTCCCCTCCCCCCAACTGATTTCCATAATACTAATACCATAAATGGACACATTAAAAAAAAAAAACAAAAAATTCCTTAAAATAGACCTGTCTTTTAAGACTCAGACATGAGATGAACACTGTAATTTCAAGTTACCTGCTTAGCTTTTCCCATAATTATAAAATCTTTTAAATTTAAATTGAGTTTGGATATAATTACATCTTTGTTAAAATTTCAGGATTTCTCATACTTTTCGATTTACATAAAATATCTTAACTTTTAAAGGTAAAAATAGATGACCACATATCCTTCTCTTCATGTCATATTATTAGTATCTGGAAATTAAAATGAGAATTCTGACACAATATGTATCTATTTCTCATATATCAACAGTTGCCTACTGTTTAACTAATACTTCAACAAAGTTGCTACATGAAATCAGGACAGGATCATTTTCTTGTCTCAAAGTAACAACTGTGCAGGGAAAACTACAGCCACACTCTTCCTACTAAACTACAGAAACATGCGAGGCAAAGATACAGGGAACCCAGGCACACTCTCAAGATGATGATAATAATATGGGACTGCAGCCGAGTAAATCTCTTCATTGCATCCTAACTCCACTCACTTATGTTCAATGTATATGGTTAGTGGAGGGGTGCTTGGAGAGACACCCCTAATCACTTCACAGGCTAAGTACTACACAATTCCATGAAATGCCAGTAGGGTACTATATGGACAGCACCCACCCTGGATATAACGTGGCAGCTTTGAGTACGGATGAATTCAATACAAATCCAGGCAAACTCACCACCACCATCCTCAAATCAGCTCCCCAAGTGAGTATACTGACAGGTTGCTAGGTGTTTGTTTTTTTCCTAAGTAAACGTATTTTTTCCAATTGTAAATTTATTCTTAAAAACAGATAAAAATTATTCTGTATTTTTTTGTTAAATGAGATGTCATGTGAACTGCCTACTAGGTACTCAAATATTAGTTTTCTTCTCCTTACTTGCAGTAGTCTAAATGGCTGTAATAGCTATAGAAAGGTCATTTGAAGTGGGACCTAAAAATCTAAGCTTTTGCATTAATCATTTCGATAAAGCATATTCAATTTGCTTTGTGAAAATATAAATCATAGCTGAAAAATAAATGAGCCATTCTACTCTCAGACTCAGTCACACCTCATATAATTTTAAAATTATAATCACCTTTCATATTCAGTCTTTGCTCATACACAGACTGACATGAATACACCTGAACTAGAAGCTATGCTCTTTTCCACGGTGTCCTAAGAAACAAATGGCACATGAATAAGGCTCATAGCTGGGAGCTCAGGATGCAACATAGAACCTGGAGGGTTTTTTTGCAGGGGGAGGAGGAGCAGAAATCATACAACCAAGCAGACAGACGCCACTAGAAATTGATTTTCTCCACCACCAGCAGGGACCTCTATGATGTCTCAGAAGTCTTTTCTTGTCAACTACTTTCTTTCCCTACAGCTTCCCACTGCTACCATTCCAAACCTGCACCAGTCTCCCTATCCAGCTAATGAATGAACTTGCTTCCTACCTCAGCAGGCTATTTACTAGACTTGAGACTCCTCAACTCTTGCCAAATCTAACAGTCATTTTTCCAGATTATCCTACATGGTCTCTCGCTGCTGAACACGCCTCCTCCCTCGAAACTCTCTCTCCCTTGCAAGTGTGTCTTCTGGTTCCCCCTCTTCCATTCTTGGTCTGCTTCTCATTCTTCACATTCCCTATCATCACACTACTTACCCAAGACTTACAGTCTCTAGTCAGATCACCCTCCTGAGCTCAAGTCTAAAAGACATTTCTACCCAGATGTCACAAACATCTGAAATTCACTGTGCTCAAGTTTATCTTCCTTTAAGACCTCTTCCTTCTCCTTGTTTTCTTAGTCAGCTTAAAGGAGCCGCCATCCACCACTAGAGCAAAAAAAACCAGTCATCTTAAGATTCTTCTCTCTCTCCCTCTCACTTCTAAGTGGCCATCAACTCCCTCTATTCTACACAGGATTCTCTCTTGCAGCCACTGCTGCTACCCCATCCTCTCTGCTGCTATTTGACAGCACAAATCACTTCTCAATTGAACTATTCCAATATCCTCCCACTTCTAGCCCTACCTCAAACCACCCTTTAGAATGCAGCCAGAGTAAAAGACAAATCTGATTATGCTTCTCCCAAACTTAAAATCACCACCCCCCACAACTGCCAATGCAGGCTGCCCACTCCTGCCATCACTGTTCTTTAGCTCCCCCAAACAGACGGAGAGAGCCCTGGGACAGGGCTTTTCTCATCTTTGAACCTCACATGAAAAATAAAGTGAGTGTTGTCAAGCTTCTGCTTGGAATTCTTGACAGTTTACTCTAGGCTCATGATTTCTCTGAATTTTTATGAACCGAAAAAGCCACAAATATTTGATTCCTACTTCAACACTTTTACAGCACAGAAAAATTATTTCTCTACAAAACCTCATTAACATGGAAGAGTATGGCACAATCTACAAAACAGATATTTAATTTACTGTTTGACTTCATAGAGAAAAACCTTCACATATACTCTCTTTACAAACACCACTACAGACAGAAGAAACAGAGAAGGGGGAAATATGTTTTCCTGTGTTTATTATTCTCCCTGAAACTGAATTCAAATGCAGCAAGTGAGGTTTCAGAGATGCTTTAATGACACTGAAACATTTGTGTGTGTCTCAGAGTCGAATGATCTTCAATTTTTCATTCTCAAGTAGTACCATCCAACAGGACTTTCTGCAATAATGGAAAAGTCCTAGGTCTTCACTGGCCAGTATGGTAGCCACCAGCCACAAGGGGCTATTGAGCAATGAAAATGTGGCTAGTGCAACCGAGGAACTGAATTTTTACTTTTAATTAAATTTAAGTAACCATATGTGGCCAATGGTTACTGCATTGCACAACACAGTTCTAGAGCATGGTATTCGTGAAACTAAAGCATCAGCATCTTAGCTTAAAAATGTTAATTCACAATGTTTTGCAAAACACTTCTGATTACTAAATTACCAAATCTCCAAAAGTTAGTATTTTGTTAGTAAAAACAAAGCTGCCTTTTACTATTACCAAACACTAAGGTAACTAAGATACAGATACATTTAAATACATCTTACCAGTAGAATATTTTACTTGACTGCTAAACAAAGAATTATGAATGGAAGTTCTCTACAGTGTTTTCTAAACCTTGCCAGTACGCAACATTCTTCAAAGTTTCTAAAAGTTAAAAAACAAGAAAAGGGAATTCGCTTCAGTAGAGAAACACAGCAGCAATTAATTTCTGTAAAACAGCCAACTAAAAGGTACATTCAAACCTGAGACAACCTTCCTCTTGCAATGAGAAAATTAGGAAGAAAATTTTTTGGTTAACTTAAAAAAAATCTTTTAGGTTTACAGATGAAATAGTCAAATGTCTGTTTATAATCTTTAATTTATTAGCTTACATCTACATATCTAAAAACATTATATAAGGCAATATATTAATTCATGAAACAATTTTACTCCAACTATTCACTTTCACCTTCAACACCAGTGTCTCTGTGGTCACTTAAGCCACGCTGAATCATCAAATTCCATTTTCCAGAGCACATCACCTTCACATCTACCACATCAGCTATGATAGAGCACTTCTTGAATCCACACGATGCACTCACTGGAAATCTTAAGCTGAGCAATCAATCCCCATTCAGGTAGGCACAATTTTTTTCATTCATCACTGACTATTGATTGATTGCATAAATATCCCAAACTAGCAGCGACTGAGGTTGTTTCAGCCCAATATGTATTTCCCAAACAGCACCTTTTTGTGTGAAGAGTAACTGAGAGAGTGTCCTGTAATAGGAGAGATTTGAACAAGTGGTGACATCCTCTTTTCAGAGGGACACTTTTGGGGCAAACCTTGCCTTGTAATCCGGCACATACAGTACATCCTTGAAGATAACGTTTAAGAGGGAAGGCTGCCTGGAATGATCTAAGGGTTTCTTCACTCCTTCTCTAAGTGCTCTCTCAGCTTCTAGATTTGGATTAAAATGCCTATCTCTGCTAAGCAGTCATCTTCCTTTTGGAGTCACAGGCAGACACGAAGCTGCCAGGACAAATAGATGAGCTTTCCCTACTTTCAATCCAATCCCACACTACCATAGGCCCAGTCTTTCCAAAAAGCTAATCTGATGCCACCTGTGCTCAGCTTAAAAGGTTTCTACTGCCTCCACTAGTGTGGAGGATAAAAAAATTCAATCTCCATTGTGTCATTTGGAGATTACTCTGATCCACCTTTGTTTACCTAATTGGTGGGTACCACTCCACCCTCTCACCTCTAGGGGCTTTCGTCAAGCGTCCTCCATTAACTGGAGGCACTCCCACACTGGCACTCCACCTGAGTTTAGCTAAATCCTACTCAGGCTTCACAGCTCAGCTCATTTCTCCGTCCTAAAAGCTTCCTTGAGCACGGCACCCTCCTCCACTCCCTGAACCCAGGAACAAACCTCCTATTACAGCACTCACCATACTATTTGTTTCCTACACCACCACTACTAATTCCTTACTCTTACTGAGTGTACACCATGGGTGAGACACTATTTCAAGTGCTGTGCGTAGCTTATCTCCTTTACTTCTCAACAACCCTATGAGCAAGCTAACATTCTTCAGACAAGAAAGCTGAGGCCCAAAGAAGTCAGACACTGTCCCAAGGTTCCGCAGTGCTGGGATGGAAACTCAGGCCACCTGGCTGCAGGGTCTGAGCTCTCACTCTTTACAGTGTCCTGCTACCCAAAGGGTTTTTACATTAGATCAGGGGCTTCCGGGGGGACACAATAGTGAAAGCTTACCAGACGCTTGCAGAGAAAATGATCAGAATAGTTACTACCTGAGAAACTGTCTGCCACATAGAGATGCTGCAAACTTGACTTCTAGTTCTGTCCACTGGGTAATGTTTGTTTAACAGAGGATCCCTACGGCTTCCTGCCAGCTACAACAGATCATCAAAAACAAAACCCCTTCCCGTTCTCCAGAGATGCCCTTCATAGGTATTATGAAGGACATCTGTTTGCAAAAAGAAAAACCAAAAAACTAGTTACTGAGCAGGTAAAGGAGGCCTTTACCTGGTTTCACAGTGACAGAAGCACGTAGAAACGTCACATTTAGAAGCAGGAGCAACAAAACTCTTCCAAAACACACTAATCTGATTTATTGTTGATGACAAAGAAAAACGTTCAAGGCAAGCCCACCTTTTGGTTTTCTAGTTTAACACTGATTTTCAAGGCAAGAAGGATTAGTAATTCACAAAAAAATACCGAAGTTAGTATGCTTCACACTTAACACAAAAAACTCTGGCCTACAAGGAACTTACAAGGCATTTTGCTAAAAAAGGAAATTACAATAGCTAATAGTTAATATTTACAGGGTGCTTTCTATATGTCAGGCATTTTTGCATCCATTGTTCCTTTTTTTGGTACCCTTTAAAAGGTCTACTTTTAAGTTATCAGTCATTACCCCATTTTACAGAAGAGTAAACTAAGATTCACAGACGTTACACAAAATAGCAACGTGGTTTCAACCTTAAGTCTATGTAATCATCAAGCTCTAGTCACTACATTAAGCTTCTCGGAGTTTAAAGATGTGGCACAAACTCCCTTTCCTACTCCCACTTTCAAGCAGGGCTGTGACCAAGGCTGGGGAACGGCTGCTGTGTCCTCCCTCTACCCTACAACTCAGGTATATCATACACTTGTATCACCTAACAGAAGACAAACTCCGCCCTTACGGTGCTTCCCAACACAGCGCCCAACTGCTTATTCGCGGGAATTACCATTCCAAGATCTCAATCTGCAAGGTCAGAGTTTAGGTAAAATAAGACGAATGCCGCATGGGATTGGTAGACTTACCTTTAGATCGCAGAACCATAGAAGCTGCGAGATCCGCATTATAACGACATTCACAACTGATGGGAGAACTGCATAAAGCTTTCCTGTACTCCACTTCCGCTAAGTCTAAAACGACACCCTATTTCCCACTTCGGACCAACGCCTTACCTAACACATTTTCAGGAGCCTCGGTGCCTCGCGAGGACCGCCTAGGCGCACAAACCTTACACGCTGTCATGAGTTAGCCATGGCCACCTTGCGGATCGGATCCTCCAGCAACACTTAGTCTGACCCTAGACCTTCCCTGTTCCATGCAGAGATCGACCTCACGCCCATCCGCTCACAACCACCATGTGCGAAGTTCAATCTTGACTTCGGCCAAGAGACATTTCCTTTCTCCTTAAATGAAGAAACAGGTTTGGACCTGTGCTCCCGCCTGGCTGCCCCGCGCTCAGGATCCTTCCCGGGGAGCGCCCGAGGCCGCCCTGCAGGACCCCGGGCGGGAACGCGCAGCCCCCAGCTGGTGCGGGCTGCAGGCCACGCCGCCGGCCGCCAGGACTCGAGGCCCAGGGCGGAGGAGCAGCCGCG